CTTCCTGCTCCCAAACTAATTCTCACGTCTGTGATTTGGGGATAAGAGACATGGCTGTCTTCAGGAGCCTCCCTAAGTGCACAAAGCCCCACTGCATCTGTAAACTGGGCTAGTTCCCAGAGACAATGAGAGCTTCCCCTATAAGTGTCTCTCTTCACTTACCCCCGCTTCCCTCCACAGCCACTTGAAGGTAGAGACATGGCGTGGACAAATCTGATTCCAGAAAACTGCTGCAAACCCTCCCGGGCAGACCTCTGCTCAGTTGTTCCTGCACCTGCTTCAAACAGGAAGGCACCCTGCTGCCTCGCCCCCTTATCTGTCAAAATACAATTTCAGTTCAGAACTCTGCAGCCTTCTTGGACTGAAGAGTTCAGCCATTCAGCAGCAGGTGCTCATCCCAGGGAGGGTTCCCGGAAGGTTCTGTAGCATTGACCATAATTATAATTAATCTGCTCCACGTGTAGTCAGTTAATTAACATCTCTCTTTTCTGCTAACCTGTAAGGACCTGAGGGCAGGAAAACTTGTCCACTGCTTCCCTGGCAAAGGCGCTGCTTGCTGCAACCTACAAGCCACTCTCCTCCTCGCTCATCCTTTATTTCACACCAGAGATATCCTGCCTCGGGGCCTTTGAAAATTCTCTTTCTCGTTCCTTCCCCAAGCACCAATTGGTATTGCATGGCCACCTCGCCTGCTGTGTTTTTTCCTCCTTACCACTTACCATGGTCGAACATACTGTACATTTTGTATTGTTAAACCTCCTGAGACCAAAGGATGTCCGAAATAAAAGGGTTCATGGAGCTGTTAGACATGGCAGTCAGAATAAAGACCAGGTCCTAGGCCAAGTTTCCAAAAACTACCAGGAGCAAGGTTGGATAGCAGTTGGGAAAATGTCCACCAGATATAGAGCTAAGAGGCTTTTATAAACCTTGGGGAAGAATGGCGTGGGTTGTTTGCAGTGACCCTACATTAGCTATAGCGGAGAGGAGGTAACTGGGGAAAGCTTTGGGATAGGAGATCCATTCATAAGGAGGCATGCTTGTTGCTTCTGGATTGTTGGGGCTAACAGGTCTGGAAGGTTTATGTATAAACAGGGTGTGTTGGCCCTAGGAGTTGGCTGTGATGGGATTTAAGGCAGGGTTTCAACAGTCTAATGTTGCTTTTGCCCTACAGCTGTTAACTGATTATCTTCCCTTTTCCTACCCATCCCCACCACTATCCTGTGAGCTTTGTCCTTAATCTTCCAGGCAATCAGCATGATTTCTTATTGGTGGCTCCCCCATTAGAATGTTAGTTCCCAGGTGGCAGTGATTTTTTTTATCGGTTTTGGTAAATACTATGTCTTTATCATCTAGCACAATACCTTAGTATTCTCTTAATAAGTATATCTTAGTAGTCTCTTAATAAGTAACCCCATGTATGAGTGAATGACCACCTTCCTAAGCTAAGGTACCCATTAGCCAGCACAGATGGGTGCAAGTGCAGAATCTGTCAGGAGTCCTTAGAATCATTACTTCTGCCCCCAGTGAGCCCAGGACAGACACCCAGACACAGTAGGGGTCCCTCAGGCAGCTCAAGCCCCACTAAGGATCAGTGGGCAAAACATGCTGAGCTAGTGGTGGTTCCCAAAACGGGAATGCTTTGCGTGGCTGCGATTCAGTCATGATTTCACCTCCTTAAAGCCCTATGGTGTGCTTTTTGAAAGTTTATTTCAAAAGAACATTTCCAACAAGTTCTGTATGTTTTTGAAATTAAGAAAAAAAAAAACTTCCTTTGCCATGGAATTGTCTATGTCCTGCCTTCTGTAGAATTTGACCCATATTATCATCTTTAGGAATATCCGAAACTACTTCAAAAAGTTCATGCAATGATGGAATGAAAAGCAAGTTTATTTTGGTGTGAAAAAATTGACAGCCTAATAGCATTTTCTGTGGATTTTTTTTTGAAGCCGCCTCATGTTTTGACCCTTGGAAATACATCACGCTCCTGTTGTTGTCTTCTGTGTCTATAGAATCTTCCAGCGGGGCTTTCAGCTTCTCACTGCTGCCATGGCAAGAGCCACCTCTGCTTAAAGCCCTGAGTTTTTAAGTCACACCTTGCTCCTCTGATTTTCTGAATTTAAAACAAATTTGGAAAGTAAAAATGAACCAAGTCGAGAAGACAAAACCAAAAGCTCCATGGCTTCTAAAAGGTGGAAGAAGGAAAGTTTGCGCCCCACCCCCAATCCCACCCAGACCCCCAACACACACACACACACACACACACACACCCTAAGGAGACTGGGTTTCAGGCCCTGTGGGTGGAGAAGGAAACCACTGTGTGTCATCAGAGCGCGAACCCACTTTGAGCAAATTAACTAGTTACACAGCTCTCCTGTAAAATGCTGCAGAATCGCAAGAGTCTCGTCTAGGAGTTAAAGTCGTACAGTAGATCAGCATCAAGAGTTCTCCTGAACATTTTTGAAAATTTTTTTTGAAAACAGCATACTTCCCAAGGCATTTGTAAGCTCACACAAACACCTGAAAGGGATCATCACTGTGTTATGTATCGGACGTTTGTGCAGTGTAGTACGTTTCTATTGTGCACTGTGTGACATGAGCATCAGTTCCACAGAACACATTTGACAGACATTTCAATGATTTTTTTTTCATTCCCCAAGGTGCTAATTAGGTCCTTTAAAACCACTTTTGATTTTTGAGCCTCTTTTCATTAAAGTCATTCCACAGAAATTCTCCTGATAAAGAATGAAGATTTTCTTGTTGCCATCACAGCAAAGTTTGCTTTCATCAAGTCACTGTGGAGTGAGTTTGCTATCTGCAGGTAAAAGCTTAGAGCTGTTGACCCTTAATTAGAGCTAACCCCCATATTGACCAGTACTTCAAATGAGGGCCTGGCCTGGGAACAAAAGAGTTTCCCTAGAGCTAGCAGGAGAAAACAAATACAGGATGTGGAAGAACAGCAACAATGGAGTCATTAACAGTCCTTAGAAGATAACTGACCGCTCTGTGAGCAATGGAGATTAGCACCTAAATTAGGGGAAGCATCTTAACACCCTGCTTTCCCAAAGAATTCTTCCCACCCTTAAAATTAACCACTCAATTCTAGGTCAGCTTTGATTCCTTGAATTAAATGCCTTTTAGCATCTTTTCTTCTCTGGTTTCGCAACTTCCTCCTTTTTGTTCCTTCTCCCAAGAGAGAAAATGTCTCCATCATGGTCTGATGACCTTTTTTAGTCCTAAGAAAGGAGTTGACCAAGAGTGTGAGCCTTGCGTTTGTGGCTAAGTATCAGAAGTTTCAGCTCCTGCTGCAGTGACTCCTTAAACCTAGAATAAGTAAGTTGTTGAAAACACAAAACAACTATCATTCGTCTTCTAAAATAGGATTAACTTAATCACTCTGAGAGTTCCCCACCCTGTTTTCTAAGAATGACCTGTTTTTACAATGTTAAATTCACAGTCAGCATGTGAGGGCTCCTAGACTTGCATTTCCTTTTTTCTTATCAGAGGTTATAGACCTCAGGAGAGCAGGGGAGGGTTACAAGGTCAAAGTCTTTTCCTCCTTGGAACTTACTGCTTGCTGGGAGAGAGCTGCCTGGAAAATAGATGCTTTAAAGAAGAGGTTGGGGGGTCATGATTTTAATTCTGTTAAGGAACAGCTGGTTTGAGTTTCTTTCCATTTCTATCTCCTGCTCCCTTCCTCACAAATCCGTGGAGAGAGAGAGAAGAATTTGTTCAGAAGGAACTGGCAACATAAAAATATACCTTTTCAGTCATGGTAGTGTTTTACCAATGTCATCTGTGTTACACAATCGAATGTTAAGTGCTACAGAGGAAGGTGAGATTTTATAAAATTAATGATATCTGAAACATGACTGGAGCTGGAGTCAGAAGCACCTTTTTCAACTACAGGATATGCCTGGAAATTGCTCCTACTATTTTTTAATGAAGACTTTAATGGAAATAAGTACACAAAAGGCCTGTGGGGTACCTGGACCCTGACTGCAAGGAGGAGAATATATCTGAAATCCGAGAGCAAGCCAGGACGGTGTGTCGCTTGCTGCTAGGCTGGCGGCCTTGTCTGTCTGAGTATGCCTTCATTCCACAAATGTTTGTTGAGTGCCCACTCTTCCCACAAGTATGCTAGGGCCTGGGGATGCCGTGGTAGGATAAATATGTCTGCTTCTGAGCCAACAGGTGCACACACGTGCACTCAGTCCAGCAGAACTTGAGTCTACAGTTAGGCCTTCTATTCTACACCATTTACACACTGGTTGAGATTAAAAAGTCAAGTCCGTTCAAAATAACATTGTGCTATAATACACTCATAAATCCAATATTTAAATGCATGTGTATAAAATAGTAAAATACAATGGTTAAAATATACCACATGCTTTGATTGTTTTTATTTAGATTTTGAAGTCTCCTATGCTTTATTTTTAATCCTGCACACACAGACACACATACACAAAGAATCAAACTCACATCTCTCACATAAATGGCAAACCAGGAACAGATTTTTTGTCTAGGCTCCTCCGCACACTGGCCTCGGGCTGTGTTGGTGTGTGGCTCAACAGCAATCAGAGGTCATAATTTCATTGGCAGTTAGCATCAGGTTTAATTTTTCTAGCATGTTACATTTACCAAGATGTCTGGTTTCAGTTATGCATAGGCACTGCCTGAATCAGCTCGGAACAGCATGATTCTTAAGGTACCTAAGGTTTTTGGAACACACATGCTAATTGTTTGCAATCACTTTCCTTTCTAAACATAAAAGTGTGTTTTCTGAAGCAGGATAACAGTAGTCCTTAATGACATTGCTTGTTTCTTAGTCTGGCAAACATGTCAACTTAGCAAGACTGCCACCTACTGATTGACATAGTTGAAAGACACTCCAATTAAGTTTTTTTTTTTTTTTTTTAAACAGCTGTGTGATTTTCTGTTCAAGAAAACAGAAATGTAGCTGCTTTTCAAAAATTGACCTGTATCTTTTCATTGCATTTCAGGAATGTGACCAAGTTCATATAGACGATGTTTCTTCAGATGACAATGGCCAGGACCTCAGGTGAGCAGTCTGAAATGTGAAGTTATTGCCTCCCCCTTTTGTGGTTGTAATTGCTCAGCTAATAAAGATGGACTTGCTGTTCGGTTAACTTTGGGCTTTTCTTGCATCTAAATAGCACATATAACTTTGGAACAGATGGTTTTCCTGCTGCAGCCACCAGTGCTAATTTATGCCTGGCAACTGGTGTCCGGGGCGGCGTGGACTGGATGAGAAAGTTGGCCTTCCGCTACAGACGAGTGAAAGAGATCTACAACACCTACAAAAACAACGTGGGAGGCAAGTGACTCACCCTGGTGTCTCCATGGGTTAAGACAGTCTAGATACAATTCTGAAAGTACCCACACTTTTGAAAGTACAATTCTGAAAGTATCCCACACTGCTTGGGATATACTCTCTGTTTGGGGGCAGTTCCATCGCACAGGCCATTGTTCTGCTCTGATGTAGTGACAGACGGTAGGCTGGAACCATCTGCCCTGGCCACATTACCCAGTGGGTGACCTGTGGCGAGGTTCCTGACCCCTCTGACCTTCTGTTGAATTGGGATGAGCAACCCCTGTCCACCATGAGATGGGTTGTTAAATGGTTTCTACTGTGTAGATGCTTATTGTGGTTTGGATTGTTTGCTTGTGGTTCAAAATTGTCCAGATGACTTTCGAATAAAAGGGACTGTATTGACTTAATTATGAAAAATATAGGGGTGATGTTGGTTTCCAGCATGGTTATATCCTGATATTCAAATTATGCCATCAGGGAAACTTATCCTAGCCTTTGGATCGAGGGCATTCTAGGTTAGTAATGACCATCAGTAGATCCAGGATTCTATTCTGCTGGGTTAGTGCGTACTTGGGGAATGAAAGAAATATCTTTCTCCACAGATAGGGTAAAAACTCTAAGGCTGACTTTCACTGGCCATACCAAGGTCATACACCCACCCTTGAAGCTAGAAAGTGGGGTCTGCTCAGCCCCAACACAGAGAAACAGGAGTGGGGGACAGTAGGCTCCCCCAAAAGAGGTAACTCTCATAACCAGAAGGGACGCTCAGAATGCAAAATCAGTTCTCCCCTATGATAGCACTAAATATTTCTCAACTGAATGATCATATATGAAATATTATTTATCATTATGTATTGACAATATAGTACTTTATGTACTAGACAGCTTGAGGCAGGTGTTAGTAGTACTTTTAAATACTCATTATTTATGAAACAGAAAAGACATGTGGGTAAGGAGGTAGTTCATCATTGCTTTTATATCCTCAGGTCTGCTTGGTCCAGCCAAGAGAGAAGCTTGGTTGCAGTTGCGGGCTGAGATTGAAGCCCTGACAGACTCCTGGTTGACATTGGCCCTTAAAGCTCTCTCACTCATTCACTCCCGGTGAGGCACTCCGTGGGGACTTTGCTGGGAAATGGGTCCAGCGCGTGTTTGTTCTTTTGAAGATTTTTTTTTTTAGCAGTCTTTTAAATTTTTTTTCACTTTTGTTCTTGTAGGACAAACTGCGTGAATATTTTAGTAACAACTACTCAGCTCATCCCAGCATTGGCTAAAGTCCTACTGTATGGATTAGGAATTGTATTTCCAATAGAAAATATTTACAGTGCAACTAAAATAGGTGAGTTGTTCCCATCTACTCCCTAATCAACACTTTTATTTCAGACTAATTTGACAGACAATAAATGAGACTTTTTTTTTCAGAATGCTAGAGAGGTCAGAAAACTAGAAGAATATTTTTATTCAAATTGGCTTTAGACACCAAGAGAATTGTAAAGCATATTTTGTGTAGCTGAAGTCTTACATTTTTACTTCATTGGTTAACATTAGATGTAATAACCTAGCATTAATTCTGGGTTATTATCTTACTTTTATTCTTTTAGGCAATATCAACCAAAATATAAGCTAAAACAAACATTAATATGGTACTTCACACAGTAGAAATGAAACAACTCTAACAGCTTTGTTAGTATTGAAAAGAGGGTTTTCGTTTTGTTTTTAATTTAGTGCATATAAATAATGGAGTTTCCTTTTTTTTTTTTTTTTTTTTTGTGAGGGTACCAGAATGAAAACAGCTAAGTTCCTTGCAAGAAGGAAACATAATTGGAAGAAAAAGAATATAAACCAAGACAGAATAAAAGAAGGGATTAAAAAGGGACATGTGATTCTTGTTCCCATGGGAAACAGACTTTGTAAGATGTATTTATTTATTTTAAAGTGAGTGAGTGAGAGAGAGAGAGAGAGAGATATCTCCCATCCATTGGCTCACTCCCCAGATGGCCATAAGAGACAGGGCTGGGCAAGGCCAAAGCTGGGAGTAAGGACTTTCTTCCAGGTCTCCCAGGGGCTCAAGCACTCTGGCCACCCTTCATTGCTTTTCCCAAACCATTAGCCGAGAGCTGGATTGGAAGTGCAGCAACTAAGAACATTAACCGGCACCTATGGGATGCTGGCATTGCAAGTGGCTGCTTTACCCTCTTCACCACAATGCCAGTCTAGAATCAGACATCTACATAACTGCAATCCAGTATGACAAAGAGATATTTGTATCTGTCAGATATCTGCTACATGCCCAGACCTGTACTCAGTATTTTACTTATTGAAGTGAATTTTTACAATGTTGCTGCTTTACAAATGAGGAAACTAAAGACCAGACACTTAAGTAATTGTTCAGATCAATAGCTGGCAAGGTTAAAGGTTCAAGTCACAAGTTTTTCTTTCTCTTTTCTTAAGATTTACTTCTTTATTTGAAAGACATACTTACAGAGAAAGGGAGAGACAGAAAGTGAGTGAGATCTTTCATCCCCTGGTTCACTACCCAAGTAGCAGCAATGGCCATCCTCCACTGCCCTCCTGGGCCACAGCAGAGAGCTGGACTGGAAGAGGAGCAACTGGGACTAGACCCCGGCACCCATATGGGATGCTGGCGCTGCAAGGCAGAAGATTAACCAAGTGAGCCATGGCGCCGGCCCCCAGAATCCATACTCTTTCCCACTTCCTAAGGGGTCTCCTGCTAAATGGGGGCATGGCTGAGGAAGCATTCATTTTCACCCAACAGGAGGCAGTGGACAAGTGCCAATGAAAGCTATGGGAAGACTTGACATTTGAGCTGGGTATAGAAGGACTAAGTTGAGATCAAGGAACATGGAAGCTGAAAGGTGTTCCTGGCTTGTAAGGAGTCCAGAGTGGTTGATGAGCAGTGTTCATAGGAAGCTAGAACTGAAAAGGTAGACTCGGGTCTGGTCATAAATGGCCCTGTATGTACCCCAAGGGGATACATGTTATTTTAATAAGCCCAGGAGAAGGGGGGATGAGCAACCTAGTAGGTGGGAAGAAGGCTGTTTAGAGCTTCATAGCTCCCTCTAGGGGAGAAAAGGGCAAATGTAGAATCCCTACAGATCTAACTTCTGATCACCTGAGGTTTTATACTTGCTGTTCCTCTCCTTCAAAACATTTACTAAAGGATTGCTAAAGTATTATATGCATGTTATTTGTTGGTCATTAAGACTTCCCCCACTATGCTATGATATTCTTGAGGACTTTCTTTCTCATCATAGTGGCTACAATTCTCAGCACACAGTAGGTACTCAATAAATGCTTGTTGAATGACATAGATTAATAAATGGCTAATGATTTTGAATAAGGCTGACATAGAGGCTTCTTTTAGGTACCTGCATCTATAGTGGCATGATTAACTCATGGGAAAACAAGGTTTTATTTTATCATTGTGGAGTTTGAAGAGCCTAGGAGGTACTCACATAGGCTTCTCAAGTTGGAAATACAGTACTTTTCAGGAGTTTGAGAATGATGCTTTCCAAAGAGGGCCAATAACACAGCATTGGAAAAATACTTGACAATTTACCAAGCAGAATAGAATTCTTAATAGTCCTGGATATCCAGAAATGTTACATGCTCTTATGTTCCATAAAAATAGCATTTTATATTAATGATATATTTGATAAAGAGGGATTGCACTGTGCTGTATGCACAAGGATTGTGGTAATGTTTTCTCAGCACATGGAATGACAAATTCCTAGTGTGCAGTGCAGAGCCGAAGGGATAGTGCTTAGCCTTCCAGAAGTAAAGCACAAGCAGTGTATTATATGTCATGTGGGTTGAAGTTTAATCCCAAGTAATTGGAAAATGGTAATGAAATAGGAAAAATATAATAATACTCTAGTAATCATTAAGCATTTTAATGTGCATTGTTCATAATATCAGTTTTAAATTTTGTACTGAAAAAAATTAGAATTACAAATGCATGGTGGTAGAAGTTATCTCAAAACCAGTGGTATCCTCTTTTCTGTGATACTTTCAACAGGAAAAGCAGGGGTTCAAACATCTATAGTTGTTGCTCATTTTGCTATCAAATGAGAGAGATGTGAGGAACAGTGCAGAAAACCCAGCTCCCACATAGGCAAAATGCAGGTCATGGGAGTCGATGAAGACGGCTCATTGAGTAATGCTCAGACAACCTGGACTCTTCAGAACAAATACTTCACATGAAACCTCTAAGTTTAAAAAGGCCAGCTTCATTTTCTTCATTTGTATTATGAAGAGTTTCTACATGACCCCAAAGATACAATGAAACCTATGAGAGATAGTATTAAGGCAAAGAATTTTTGTCTACCATGTCCTCTTTAAACATTGATTTTTATCTTCTTTCACAGGGAGGAAACTTTGCAAAAACATGTGAGCATTTCCATGCTATAAGAAAGGAACCATGTTTTATGATAGGAATAAATTTTGGTTGTATATTTTTGCAGTGAAAAATGTACTTTGATTTAATATTTCACAGTTTAGTAGGCGACTAAAGCAGCATTGAAATTGCATCCTTTGAATAAGGCAAGCTCCATTTCATTGTCAGATGCAAACTAGAGATTTTAGTGCAAAATACAAATATAAAGCAGACATTTGTTTAAGCAAACAAGCAATTTGTTCATGAGTATATCCGATCCTTATTTGAAAGAGGTGTAGGCTCTGCTCAGCCATTCACATTTGAGGACTATAAACTGTCCCATTGTCCATTAAAATGACCCTATTGGCAGACCAAGACCTGGAACACCAGTTTCTTCTGTGAGACGAAACAATGCCTGCTATTAACTGCAGGGATGTGCTGACAGTGTAGCCGCCACGGGAGCCCAAAGTGAGTCATGACATGGGAAAGATAATAGACTGATAAAGGTATTCTATTACCTTTATCCCAGTTTTCCTCTAGGGAAGTACCTTATTGAACATTAGATGTCTGGGTAAGGTTGGCATGGTCTTGCTGTAGTGCCCCAAATTTGCGGACATTTATTTCAGAAAGAATTTTATGAGAATATGTCAGATAGACACAACAGGTTTGGTTGAGTCTTTAACTCAACCTGAAAATAAAGGGCTAGACTAATTCCAGGGTTTGTGTTTTTCTTGCTATAACAAACCAAGTCCAGTCTTTAAAAATCATTCTCAGTAGTCTTTGGATCAGATACTGTTTTCTGAGTTTGATACATTATGAAACTTTTTAAAAAGACCAAGTTAAGATATGCTGCCAGAACTGCATGCCTTTATTTAGTCTTGGCTTATAGAGGGGGAAAAGTAAACAATACTTTTTTCCCAATTGCTCTATTGTGAAGGACTAGATTCTCCTTTTTAATAATTAGTCCTTGGGAAAGAGTTCTTTTTTAAGTTATTTGAGAAATTCAGAGACTTGACAGAGATAGAGAGTGTTCCCTGCGACTGCTTCCCTCTCCACAATGCCCTCAATGGCTGGGACTTGGCCAAAACTGAGACCAGGAGCTGGGAACTCAATCTAGGTCTCCCACATGTGTGGCAGGAGCTCAAAGGCTTGAGCAATCAGTACTGCCTCCCCGGGTCTGCCTTAGCAGGAAGCTGAAGTCAGGAGCCAGAGCTGGGTGTCAAAAGCAGCTACTCTGATAAGGGGATGCAGATGTCTTAACACTAGGCAAAAAACCCACCCCAGAAAACAGTGTTTAAACTATCATTTTCTATGAGAAAGGACACCACCATGCTAATTCATGATTTTTTAATGTACTGTGCTGGTCTACATACTACCCATTGGGATAAAAGCACTTCTCTGTTGCACAAGTGGGATAATGTTGACTTGGAAGCATGAAGAAAGCATTTTATATAGGAAGTTCAAGTGCTAAAATGCTGGTTACCCACATTTTACGTACTCTGTGACTTCCTTTTGTTCATTAGGAAAGGAAAGCTGTTTTGAGAGGATAATTCAAAGGTTCGGAAGAAAAGTGGTATATGTTGTCATAGGAGATGGCGTGGAAGAAGAACAAGGAGCAAAAAAGGTGAGTGTTCCCAGAGAGTGCATCTCATGCTGTTTTATTTTTATTGGTTCTCAAAATTCTGATTCTTCTACCATTTTAACAAGTTCCATTTCTTGGAAACAGATTATGAACATGTACAGAGATGTAAGCACTGAAACCAGGGCAGAGCAGAAATCAGTAAATCTGAAGTGATTTTTTTGGCATGGGGGTGTGCACAAGTTCAAGGCCCATGGTGTTCGGTCTTCACAGAACGTAGACTTAGTGAGCAGAAACGTAGGTTTAGTGGTGCAGCCATCATCCATAGCAGGCATCGCCAGGTGGTCCAAACCTTGTTGCCTAAGCTTGGATGCAGCCTATGAAACTTTCAGTCATCAGCTCGGAAAGCCTCTATCAGTCGGTCAGAGCTGGTTTGCAAGGTGGAAAGTCTTTGCTGCCATAGAGGGCTTGATGCCTTATTTTCATCACCACTTCAGTGCCTGCCCCTCCCAGGGCACTGGGGAGGGCAGAGGGGAGTAGCCCCGACTATCCTGCTCCTGACTCCCAGCAGATGTAATTCACTTTGAGCAGCAGCTTTGTCAGTCGGCACCTCGTTGTGTATTTTCTTTAAAGAGGGAGACGCCTGTTCCTCAGCCTGGTACCTAAAGTCTTTCTCCTCCCCACAACCCACACTGAAGACATGCCCATATGCCGCCCTTCCTTTGCTCAGCACTTTATTTCTGCTGTTGCTTCTTGCAATGATTCTTTTCCCCAGTCACTTTTTCTCACTGTCTTACTGTTCAAGACACAGTTTATGCACCTTTTCTATTTCCTCTATTTTTAAGAACTCGATGATAGTGGTACTCAGTTATGATTTAACTGGAGAAGTTGTAATGGGAAATAGTTTGAATTCTTGAGCCACAGAGCCCAGGGTTTGAATTATGGTTCTGCCACTTACCCATTCTGTGACTTTCAACAAGTTATTTAACCCTTCTCTCTCCCTTTCCTTGTCTATAAAAACAGGGATAGTTATAGTGCCTTGCTCATTAGGCTATTTTGAGGATTAGCTTTAGTTGACCTAAGTAAGTCCCTTAAAACAGAGCCTGTTATGCATAAAGTATGCAACAAATGGTAGCCCTTGTTACTAATTTTGCGTGTATGTGCCTGCTTCTACCATAAAATATGAGCTTGAGAGGGTTCAGAATCTTATTTTCTTGCTTTGTTGTTTGAAATTCTGACTTCAAGTTCTAACTCCCTAAATCTTGGCACAGTTGTACTCTATACAAGTTTCTTGGGTTGAAAAGCATGAAATATTTCATGAGATAATTAGTAACATAATTTTTGCCTCCCTCCCTCAACACCCTCATAAAAATCCTCGTTTGTTTCCATAAAGGATACAATAAAGGCACCAGGTTATAGATGGCAGTATAGAACGTTCAGTATAATACGTGGCCAGCCTTCCTGAAGATAGCTCAGTTCACCTTCAGTGTCTATGAATTTCAGTAAAGACACAGGCACAGACCCTCATTCTGTAAATAATAGATGGTGTCACGGATACACTTGGATGCAGAATGTGCTCAGTTTCACACGCTGCATGAGCATGGCTGGTGCTGGTGCTCACACATACACTTCCAGTCCACCAGCGCTTGATGCCACGTAGCTCTGGCCATCGAAGCACCGCTTGTAACCTTCCCGCTTCAACAGTTGTCAGCCACGGTTGTCATTTGGTACCTCTGTTTGTCCTTTGGGTTGTTTTCATAAAATGAAAACATTTCCAGACTAAATTAAAATCTCCTAAAACTCAGTCCTGGAGAGTTAAAGAGAATATTTGTGGGAATGTTTGTCTCCTTCCTAGAGAAGCTTCTGGAACTCCAAGGCTATTCCTAACCACAAGTGGGCAGGTTGCATAGAACAGATCTGCAACACTAAGCAGTGAGGAATTGAAAGACAGCCTATCAAGCCAATGGGGCCCTGAGCCAAGGTGTGGCTCTGCCCTCCAGGTGGGCCTCTCTCCCTTGGCTGTTCACCAAAAGTTTAATTTTAGGAGAAAGTTGCCAAAATGTGGCTTCCTAGCTTGTGGTGAGGCAGAGGGCTGCATAAGAAAGCAATCAATGGAAATGCACAGGAGACAAGTCAAAGCCTTTGGGCCCTCTCAAAGTTCCTGTGGGTGGGTGGGTCCCGTCCTAAACCTGTCTGAGAAGTGTGCTTCTTTGAAGTTTGAGTTTGGTGACCACAACATGGAAAAACTAAAGGAATTCTGGGTTTGATGTTAGAACTTAAAGTAGTAATAGGACAAGAGTATTTGCTGACTCTGAAGAACAGTTCAAATTGTTTCCACTGTTGGTCTTTAGACATGCTGTTCTTTTTACACACAGCACACCAAAGAGAAATTAGACAGCCACCTGCAAATAGTGTTCTTGAATTTTGTGACTGTGCATGGGCCTTCGTGATTTCAGCCTTGGTTCATGGATGATTATAGATGCTTAGCATATAAAATATCTTTGCGTCTTGAGAGCTGCTCTGTTGTATGTGTCTGTAAGATGTACAGATTTTTCAGAATGTGCAGATTCATAATAATCTCACAAAAGATTCAGATATTCTATCACTCAGAGTGACAGGTTGAATATTCCTTTTCTAATTTTATTGAAGGAGAGCTTTTGTTGAGCATTTTTAGGTTAACTGTCATTTAAACAGCAGTCCTTTGTGTATGAATTAGAAGGCAAGGGTCAAATAATTCACAATAGATGAGGATGTTTAAATACAGTTTTCTAGTCTCTACTTTTTTAAAGAAATAAATTGGGGCCGGCACTGTGGCGCAGTGGGTTAAAGCCCTGGCTTGAAGCATCCCCTATGGGCGCCGGTTCTAGTCCCGGCTGCTCCTCTTCCAATTCAGCTCTCTGCTATGGCCTGGGAAAGCAGTGGAGGATGGCTTGAGTCCTTGGGCCCCTGCACCCAAGTGGGAGACCCAGAGGAAGCTCCTGGCTTCGGACTGGCGCAGCTCCAGCCATTGCAGCCATCTAGGGAATGAACCAGCGGATGGAAGACTTCTCTCTCTGTCTTTACCTCTCTGTAACTCTGTCTTTCAAACAAATAAAATAAATCAAGAGATGGCTATGCATGCTGAAAAAGATTAATGATGGGTAACAAGAACTGCTAGTAATTTTTATAAATCCTCAAAGCTATAACAAAGGAATCCCTCAACCTATTTCACAGTTGAGAAAACTGAAGCACACCAAATTGCACAGTTGGAAAGTAAACAAACTAGAATTTGAATCCAGTATTTCCTTTGACCACAAGATTTAGCTCAAAGTTTCTTCAGATTATAAACTGCATTTATATTAAGCAGGAGTTGATTTACAAAAGAAAATTACATGCTTTTTTTAAAAACAAAGTATGAAAATTTTATTTCTTCCCTTTTGGGTGGCAGATATAATTATGAATCTTCTTCAATTATGCATTTATGATTAAAATTTTAAAAATAATATCAATTCTAATATATACCATATTTATTGAGAAATTTAAATTATTAAGTAAAATTAATAGTAAACCATTGAAGTTCTGCGCCTTTGAATGCTAAAATGTTTTTCAAAATTGAAACCAATCCACATTGCATCTCCAAGTCTCGTGGGCCCTTTTAAAATAGAACACAGCATTCTTTTCCCGTTAGATATGCCTTTTTATCTCATAAAGCTAGAAACAGGTTTTTGAGCCCAGAAATGCTAATCAATAATTTTGCCAGTTATTTGTTTCGTTAATGGTCAATTCAAGTCTGTTCTGTCATCCTTAAGTCTCTTTGCCAGGACACTTCTAGAGCTTTCATTGGTAATTTAATCTAAATCTATAATGATAAGATTTCTCAAAACCTTCAAAGAGAAAACATCAGAAATACCCGTTTTCATAAAGGAACAACTCCACTCTCAAGGTATCTCTTTCAAGAGTTTCCATGAGTGTGTTTTTGTTCCTAGAAAGCCTGCCTATAAAGAATAAGGGATGCTGTATACCTATGCAAGTCATTCTTTGACTCACAGCCTATTTGTCCCCAAATGCCTGCAACAGGAGCGTCTGGGCCAGGCCAAGTCGGGAACCAAGAAGTCAATTCAGGTCCCCCACGTGGGTGTCAGGAACTCAGCCACTTGACTCATCACCTGCTCCCCAGAGTGTGCATTAGCAGGAAACTGTAATTGGAAACAGAGCTAGAAATTAAACCTAGACACTCCAGTATGGGATGTGGGCATTGCAAGCAGCATTCTTTGTTTGTTTTTTAAGATTTATTTTATTTGAGAGGCAGAGTTAGAGAAAGAAGGAAACACACACAGATCTTTAGATCCATTGGTTCACTCCCCAAATGGCTGCAACAGGTAGGAGCTTCATCTAGGTCTCCCAAGTGGGTGCAGGGACCCAAGCACTTGGGTCGTCCTCTTCTGCTTTCCCAGGTGCATTAGCAGGGAGATTGATCAGAAGTGGATCAGCTGGGACTCACTCAAACCAGTGCCTATATGGGATGGCCGAGTCACAGGCAGAGGCTTTACCTGCTATGCAAGCAGCATCTTTTTTTTTTTTTTTTTAGATATTTATTTGTTTGTTTTGACAGGTAGAAAAACAGACAGTGAGAGAGAAAGGTCTTCCTTCCATTCCCCAAATGGCTGCAACAGATGGAGCTGTGCCGATCCAAAGCCAGGATCCAGGTGTTTCTTCCTGGTCTCCCATGTGGGTGCAGGGGCCCAAGCACTTGGGCCATCCTCCACTGCCTTCCCAGACCATAGCAGAGAGCTGGACTGGAAGAGGAGCAGCTGGGACTAGAACTGGCGCCCATAGGGGATGCGGGCACTGCAGGCGGAGGAAAACCTAGTGCGCCATGGCGCCAGCCCAGCAAGCAGCATCTTAACTAACTGCTGTGCAAAAATGCCTGCCCCAACTTATGTCTTTTGTTGTCAGAATATACCAGGACTCCTAATGCTCTACTATAATACGTCTTGAGGAAAAATAATTGGACATATACATAATTTAAAAAGTCAAGACTAGTCTCCTGTCCACTGATGTCTATT